TCTTAAGCTGAAAAAAAAATCCAGCAATTTTGCAAATACAGTAATCGTGCTGAATTGTAAATGTGTGCAAAGGAAGGAATTGGCAAAACCACCTCTGAGTATTCCTTGCATAAGAAAGCCCTATTAAATCAATAGGGTTGCCATAAGTTGACAGGAGACTTGAAGGCACATATACACCCCTCTTCCATCTCTGGAGCCTTTATGGGCAGTTAGGTCTACTGTAATGACTCTTTTCATTTTCCCACAATTCCCAAGGAAAGTGCTAGGTCAGAAGTGTTGTGGGAAGTGACAAGAATGGCTTGATCCAGGTCCAGGTGTTGACCAGATGATGCTCCAAGCTGTGGACCAGGGAAAAAAATGAAGGAGTTGCAGAGCAGTCAGCTATGGCTGCACAACTAGAATGCATGTCTCGGAAATAAGTCCCACAGAATTCAATGAGCCTTGCTCCACATCAAATAGGAGTGCATCCCGGCTCAGCTAGGTCAACCCACTGGATGACACTGGGCAAGTCACACTCTCTCAGCCTCAGAGGAAGGCAAAGGCAAACCCCCTCTGAAGAAACTTGCCAAGAAAACCTCATGGTAGGTTCGTCTTAGGGTCACTGTAAGTCGGTAACAACTTGAAGGCACAGAACAACAACAAGCAAGCCTTATTTTTTTGTTTTCACTTCTCGACTTATTTATCTGGCCAGTAACATCCATAATGCCATCTAGTGGCCAATACGTCTTATGAAGGGGGAAATTTCTCCAAGAACTCTTCAGGGCACAGGCAGGAGGGAAACAAGGTTCTGGGGCTCAGGATTGGTATTTATGGTCTAGATCTCTACAGAGGCCATTTTTTAAGTGCTAAACAGCGTGTTTCACAGGTCAGAGCTCCAGTGCCTCTTCTGTAATTGTCAGCTAATAAGATCTGACCCCAGGCAAGACGATTAGGCACTATAGGAGGAGCTAAACTACCACCCCAATTCTAAAAAGCGAGGTGGAAACTGCAATAAGAGAAATAGCGAAAAACAACTCACCAGGAACAGATGATATTCCAATTGAACTGCTGCAATCCACATTGACAGAGTCAACTCTAGTGCTTACCAACATATGTCAACAGAAATAGAAAACAAAACAATGGCCAACAGATTGGAAGTGACCAATATACATCCCCATCCACAAAAAGGGAGACACAAGAGACTGCAGCAACTATAGGACCATAGCACTGATCTCCTACGCAAGCAAAATCATGCTCAAAATTCTGCAACATAGACTCTGACCATACATGGGACCTTATCACACGCTGGCCACGAAGCGAAAAGTAACCGAAA